GGACACATGCAGGGATCCTGTTCGTGGACTTCAGCTCGGCGTTCACCATCATCCCAGACTTATACATTTCCAGAGTCAGGAGACGGACAGGAAACATCACTGCAGATCCATCTCACGCTGGTGTTCATATCGTTATATCATCATATTGCATATACTGTACACCAAATCCACCTACCCCAAGTAAATAACATCTGCACATAATACTTATTTATTCCAGCATCCTTTGCAGTTTGCTCTATCGCACTGTGTACACGTGTATCACATCCACCTCCGACATGTACATAATAATCATAACAATAATTAATAATGATAATAATTTACTCCTGCACCATTTGCACTATTTGTCAATCTATCTATATTGTTCTGTTCTTGTTTATAGTGTGTATATTTGTGTTCTATCTTCTGTAGCCTGTGTGATTTTATTGTAGTTTATTCTATAAGAAAGCACATCGTGAGCATTGTACAATCCACAGTCAAATTCCTCGTATGTGTACACATACCTGGCAAATAGAGCTGATTCTGATTCTAATTCTGATTATGTTTTGTGAGGTGACCTTGAATGTTCAGAAAGGCGTCTATAAATAAAATATAATTATTTTTATTATTAAAACACATGGGTGGGTGGAGGATGGGTCCATGGAACACAGACACCAAAAAAACTAAAACAGTCCAATAACAACAACAATAAAGAAAACTCAGGGAAACAAAGTCCAAGTCGAAGTCTCTGGCGGACGGCGGCCAGGAAACAGGTAGGTGGCTAGCCACTGGAGCGGAAACTGACAGGGAGGTCTACTGCAAACACTCACTGCGGTTGGAGGTATTTACCTCAAACTGAAGCTGTAAGTCCATCTTGAGGCCCGTGATGGTGGCCAGCTGATCAGCAAAAACGGGAATGTGCAACAGTCTGGGCTTTGACACCATAGTCTTTTCCATCAGAGAAAGCGCACATAGTCTACGCTTATCCTCCCCTGTGTTCTGAAAGAGTTCATGCAGCCCGTCCAATGTTGCACTCACTTCCCCTGATGAATAAACAAATGACCAAAGTAACACATACACACACTACCGAGAAGAGTAAACACAAGGGCAGGGAATGAACACAGAAAACAAATACAAAACCCACGACACAGCCATTACAAACATGACAACAATCAGACAAGACAGTACGACCTATGGTTTGTCTGAAACAGCATAGCCTGTTTCTCTGTTTATACTCTTCAGACCTTTTCCTCTTTGGCTGTTTCTCAGCCATCTCTCCTTTTTTCACAGAGCCTCGACTCTAGCACGCTTGAATGTTGGTGTATCCAACTATCTCTCGCCACGACTCCTGTGCGTGAGCACGAAGGCCACCTGTTGCTGATTGGCTGGAGCAATGTTGTGGGAAATGCACCAAGCTACTTTCCTGGTGTTCCATTTACAGACCGGCTGTGAGGAAAACCTGAAAACACCCAAAATGAAAAGTTAGCGAACTATGAGGAAACCTTCATTGGCTTTAACAGAAAGTGTTTTGGATTAGAATCACTTCCTATCCCTTCAAGAGAGAGAGTTCAGAGATGCAGTAGCTTTGGGGAAGTTCACTGTAATTCCTGCTTTCTGTCTGGTTTCACAGAAACAGTGAAATCATGCAGAGACATCTGCAGAGAGGGAGGAAACTATGTGCTCTCTGCCCTTCTGTCTCCTCAGCAGTCTGAAATGTGCTGGAGAGTTCACTGCAGTCAGTTCCCTTCAGGTCAGAATGCTTTATTGGCGTGAATTTCTCATTTAAACAATGGTACCAAAGCAGTTTCAAAATCAAAAGTTTGTATTTGAACATGATATAAGATTAATGAATTCTCTGCCCTGAACTCTTTGTGTAAACAAAGACTGCTGTCTCCTCAAAACTCAAAGCATTACCTTATTTAATTAATAATTTTTAAGTTATTTAACTAGGTCTCTCCACTCCATTTGAGTAGTTATGTTACCATGTTGGTGTTATTTGTTGTTGAAAAGAATCTAAATAAGTTCCCAAACCTCCGACACTTCCTTTAGAAATAATGATAAAGAAATGTCTATACTCAGGTAATTTCCCAGCTCAAATTTAATGTTAAATAACTAAATACCCCAGCTCCTGAGCAAAGATTGTTTTTGAATTAATCAAAGCTATCCTCATGTAACCCGAGCTCCCCCAAGTGGACAAAATAAGTATTGCATGCCATCATTCTGAAATGCTAATCTACTGACATTTGTTTTCCTTTTTATCAAATGCTTAAAACTAAGAACGGTATACCCGTTTGACAATTAAGGTTTGATTGTAGGAAGATATCTGATTACAATACGCGCAAATAGCTTTTTGAATAGACATATTAAAAGTTTAAAGAAAAGACCGGAAACAAGCCCTCAGGGGAACAAAGGACTTCCCTCTGGGAACAGCGGCCCAACCCACAAAAGCAACGACACACGCTGTCTTGTGCTCTCTTGTCTTGTTCTCTCCAACTGCACTTCAGCACGTGGCCAGCGTGCCCCGTCTCCCGGCAACGCCCTAAGAAGTTTTAACCAAAGAAAATAAAACGCAAGTAAAGTTGCTGGAGACTTCACTGCGCCGGGTCAAAGTTATCAGTCCGTTAAGTTACACTAGTTTAATTCAAGAACGACCAGGTTCTTTTTAAGCTTTATTCGTCGAGCTAACTTACACTGATCCCCCGACGCCCGGACCAACCGCGTGGGCCCGCCAGCAGTAACAAAGGACGACCAAACTTCTAACCCGAGCCAGGGTTGAAAAGGCCCCACTGCAAGTTTCTTCAATAAGCCGACAAAAGACCGTATTTTTATTCACCTTAGTTAGTTTATAAATTTCACTGTAATCAAAGGAATGGTGTGTGAGTTGACTAACTCCAAGTCCCTGCCACGAGAATTTTCCCCTTCGATATGAGACTGACTGATTTAAGATAACTAAGCGATTATTAACTAACTGATCACTAGTGAATAATTGTATAATTATTAAAACACTACCCAGAGGTCTGGAGACTCTGGGTGAATTGAATCTCCGGTGGTGCCCTGCGAAAAACGAGAACTTTATGAATTAATAGTCTCTGAATATCAAAATTCATAATTTGTATTAATTCTCATAAGTTTATTAAACATAACAACAAATAAGATACAATGTAAACTACAAATAAACGTGAGCCAGATGTAAGCTGCTAACATTATTTGCAACAGCTGGCTGAGTCACTCGCTGTCCCTCAGGGTGGGACACATACTTAGCAGCATGGCTTAATTTATTGTTATCTTGAAGTTCTTAAAAATCTGGTATTTATAGATGGAATTTCTCAAAATATTGCTCTCTTATGCTTCTATATAATTTGAGGAGAAAACATGTCTCTGTCTCCACCTCACCTGTCGTACAGAGCTCACATACTTTATATTCTCTTGATATTCAGGACTTTTTATGTCTCCATTTTTTAATTGCAGGGTCTCTGAGTCTGTATTTGGTAAGAAGCTGCCTCTGCTTGATATCTCTGAAACTAGAGACATTCAGCCATTTCATCATCTCTGTTTAGGGCCAGATAACAATCTAGTTTGTGGGTTTTTGTCTCTTCCTCCCAATGTTCCAAATAAGTATTTTTGCTTTGAGTGATAATTTGGTTTAATCTAATTGGTGTTTGTAAAGCAGTGCTGGTTTCATAAAGGTGTGTGTGACATGTTGCAGGATTCTGGCAAGGGACTCTTTTCAGGGTTCAGTTCTTGGGTTTAAAGAGCCTTGAATTGGAGGGAGTCTTGGGGACTTGGGGTTCTGAGGTGCATCTGAAACTTTAGTGCTTTTATGAGTCATTGGTCTAATTGCACTGCTCATTGGTTATGTAGATGTCAGTCAGTCAACAGTCT